ATGTACTTCTGATTCGGCTTAATTAAATGTAGTTAAATGTAGTTAGATTAGTTAGTTGGGACCCAGGTTTGGGATGGTTCCTCCCTTTAGCTTTTTTCATTGGGTTTCTTTTCAGGCTTTTTGGACAAGTGTTGGCCCTACTTCACAGAACTTTGAACTTCTGCTCTATTTCGGCACAATTTCGGCTCTACTTTGGCATAACTTTTGCTTTAATTTGGCTTTGCTGCATCTCCCTGCTTAGTTGCACAATACAAAGAAACTAATTGATATGCACAAGTTTCCCTCAATGGCAGTGAGTCTAAGCTCTGTGATTGAGTGAAACTATTTAGACCAAAATCATTTCTTCAAACCATTTTGGCACTGAAGGTTCAACCAGACATTTACTTCATAAATGTAGGTAATACTGGAGAATTTAAGTCTTTCAGCTGTTAGAGGGGACTATACATACACCTTTTTGCTAGGATCGTTCACAAAACCACTTAGGCCGATTGTCTGATGTCATAGTTTGGCAGTTTGATGGTTGCCAGTTAAAATTTTGGGCCATTATCTGTGTTTGCATTTTATGTTTTAAGTCAATATTGTCTTGCGACAGCAGTGTTTCATCTGTCAGCTAAATTTTCAGAAAGTCCTTAATTTTTTCAGAGTGTTTTGTAAGCTCTCAGTGTCAACGCTGGCCCACATGTTTGTTTTCATTTCAAACTCTTATTATAAGCCAATTGTCTGTCATGACAGTTTGTCAGCTGTCACCAAATTTTTGATAATATAAAATCTACATTGTGACAAGTTTGGAGAGGAGTTCCAGTGTGTACAAGCCATTGACCCACAGAAGAAAGGAAACAGGCTACACCATGGCATGAGGTATGTGGAACCTAGTTAGCACAGTATGTTGTATTACACTGGAATACACCATTTGTTTTCAATCTTAGCTTTGGCCAAAATATCATTTGAACTATTTTTACCAAATCACCATACAGACTATATTAACAATGTTTGGAATATATGGCTTAGATTGGAATGAGTGGTGTATTGAAGTGTTAATTGATCAACATATCTCTATTTTTAGTATTCAGTTCAGCTTTCAGTTCGGTGTTAAGTTCGGCTATTCATTCGGCTTTTGGCTTAGAAAACAATTGGCTCAAAATTGGTGCACAAAGGCTTGGTTGCGACTATGAATCGTTAGCAGGCCACTTAATATGCTCATATATCATCTGGGACACCCTGAGTGTTCCAATTGCAGTGCCAACTCGCACAGGAACACTTGAGGTTTCTATGGATGCTAAATTTTTCAAATAGGAATGCGCCCCCTCCTTGATACTTACTTAGGTCCTGTGGATTAATGTAGAAATGATGTAATGGATACTCACTAAGAATAAAACAAAAAAGCCTGTGTCTCTGTGTCATTTACTTTAAATTTAGTTTTAACTTAATTGCTGTGTGTTTGTGTCAATTCATTCCTCATGAGAGAAATAGAAAAGTCTATAATTTTTTCTATACTTCTGATCGAGCCCATTTTCGGGGGCGTACAAAGCGTATGCACTTATATGTAAGTCCTGTGGATTAATGTAGAAATGATGTAATGGATACTTACTAACAATAAAACAAAAAAGCCTGTGTCTCTGTCATTTTCTTTAAATTTAGTTTAAACTTTAAATTACTTGTAATGTGTTTGTGTCAATTACTTCTAGATGAGAAATATTTAACAAGTTTATTATTTTTTCTGTAATTGTGACCAAGCCCATTTTTGGGGGCATACTAAAGAGTCGATGCAAACATTTTAAAAAGCATGCGCAATCTCTTATGCATTCATATGTAGGTCCTGTGGATTATTGTACAAATGATGAAATATACTGTAATTTTCAATAAAACTAAACAAAACCAATGTCTCATTCTTTAATTTCAAGGCAGCATTACAATAATTACTCAACAAATTCACATTTGAAAGCACTTTGCGCTATTTAAAACTGGAAAATTTGAGGTGGTGTTGTTCAAAATGTGTGCAAGTTTTTGAAATGAATGTCCTGAAGAATACTAATGATGTAGCAAGAATTCCATAACTGGTAACAATAAACCCCAAAAACTTGTTGTCTGTGTCATTTTCTTTAATATTAACACATAGTGCTGTTTACTAACAATTTTTATTTCGGGATCTTCAACTTAACAAGGTCTTTTTTTGATAGCTACTTTAGCATGTTCGTTGCTATAACAAAATTGGCCAACAACAGACGACGTCAAAATATAATACACTTTTAGCAGACTGGTCCATTTTCGGGGACTAGCTCATTTTCGGGAGCATTATCATAACTTTTTGCCATGCATACGTTGAAATCTGAAAGAGGTATGCAGGTACTAACTGAAACTTTTAATGGAGATGTTGTAGGTAGACATGGTCACCAGCATGAAGTCATTAAAGCTAATATACCAAAAGAGAGAGAGAGAGAGAGGGGACAAGAGGTCTACAAACACCATTTCCTTCTTCAGACATGGTAAGTCATATAGGAAAAAACAATGTGACAACTCGATAACATTTTTGTTTAAGTTTGCAGATCTGCACCTACTTAATGTCAGTCAAATCCAGGCATGAAGAAACAGACCCTCTGATCTAAAGGGAAAGAAAGGGTAAATTATCAATAGTGATAGGCATTCAGGCGAGCAGAATTAGCATGATAAGTCAACTGTCTGTTTAGGATTCAAGTAAAGTCATACCATTTTTCAACAGTCCATAAATAGAGCTGATGTGGTTCGATTGTCTCTGAAAACAGGGAGAAAAACAACTTATCTTTTCAGTAGAGTGTTGTGATGAAAACATAAAACAAATGTTTATGAAGGATTAGAAAATATTTTTCAGTAGCGCATAAACCTAAGCACTGTAAGTCAACTGATAGAAACATTGTATTGTGAGGGATTTGATAATCAGAAGAATTTCAAACACTAACCTTGAACAGTTTACCACAATCGTTAATCAGCCATGCAGACTACAGTGTACCTCCACAAGCCTTCCTTGTACATTGATCAGCATCACAGCAAAGATCCATTGTGACCAAGCAGGTGTAGTGTAACAAAACAGAGGGCATCTCAACAACATAGAAGTTAAAAAAAAATTTCAAAAAAAAGGGTTAATTGCCTGCTGAGAAGGGAAAGTCATACACCATTTAAAAAATAATGCAAGTATGCCAAGTGCATTGTCTTTTGTGGGAGTGAAATTGAATACACAGGGTTCATACCTTTTCCAGGATTCTAAAATTCCCATTAACCCTTTCACTCCCAAGATCCCAATATTTAACTCTCCTTACTGTCTGCCATATATGTCATACTTTTTAACTGGAGTTTAACAGATTTCCAAGACCAGTAGCCCAAGTAATGCAACAGTAAAATTCCAGGTTTTCCAGGACCCATACGAACCCTGATACAGTCACCCAATTTTTACCAGGATAAAACTGATGCAATCATGGTCAGTTAATTGTGTGGTATGGACAATGAAAAATAACACAAAGGAAAAACCCCAGCAGTATACAGAAAATACAAACATGACTGTCTTTTAAGAAAGTAAAATAACACACCAGGTTCAATTGCACACATTTATATTATCATTTGAGTGTTTTATAGTATTTACAGGTAGCTAACATTAACCTTAAAAGACACTTGAGAACAGTTGGAGAGCTATGCCAACTACAGCAGACCTCGAGCAATGCTGATTCAAACCACAGAATTTGAGGCTCAAACCATCCTAACCACCAAGTAGATGATACCTACAGGGAGAACGTTTATGCACTACCTTACTAAAATGTCTACCTGTGACACCAATGATGGATGCAAAAAGGAGCACAGCAAGGGAGTCCATGTACATCACATCTGCCATTTCTGAGTATCCCCATGAGACTGGCCGCTATCTGCTTTGGAACATCACAAGATATTTCAGAAAAGTGTAAGTATTTGCACCTAATGTAATTAAATTATTTAGTTATAACTTCTTATTGGATTTCAAGGAGGTCATGCCTTTAAAATTCAGACTTTGACGGGACTGAAACCAATGACCTAAGTGTGTGTGCTTGGTAGGTTTGTTTTCTTTCCCTTGAAAAACTGGAAAACTTAAGCCAAAAACCACTTTGGACAAGGGGAAAACATAAAAAAGGACCTAACNTTTCAGGATCTTTAACTCAACAAGGTCTATTTTTGATAGCTACTTTTGCTTGTCCAGTGCTATAACAAAAAAAAATTTGGCCAAAAAAGACAACGTCAAAATATAATATATTTTTAGCAGACCGGTCCATTTTCGGGGACTAGCTCATTTTCGGGAGCAATAACATAACATTATCATAACCTAATGTTCACACATCGTGCTGTTTGCTAACAATTTTTATTTCAGGATCTTTAACTCAACAAGGTCTATTTTTGATAGTTACTTTTGTGCATTCAGTGCTACAACAAAAAATTAATTTGGCCGAAAAACAGACAGCATCAACATATAATATATTTTTAGCAGACCGGTCCATTTTCGGGGACTAGCTCATTTTCGGGAGCACTATCGTAACAGTATTATCATAACTTAATGTTCACACATGAGTGCTGTTTGCTAACAATTTTTGTTTCAGGATCTTCAACTCAACAAGGTCTATTTTTGATAGCTACTTTTGCTTATTCAGTGCTATAACAAAAAATTTATTTGGCCAATAACAGACAACGTCAAGATATAATATATTTTTAGCAGACTGGTCCATTTTCGGGGACTAGCTCATTTTCGGGAGCATTATCATAACTTTTTGCCATGTATACGCTAAAATCTGAAACAATTATACAGGTACTAACTGAAACTTTTAACAGAGATGTTGTAGGTAGACATGGTCACCAGCATGATGTCATTAAAGCTAATATATGAAGAGACAGAGAGAGGACAAGAGGTATAAAAACACCATATTTCCTTCTTCAGACATGGTAAGTCATAAGAAAAAAAAATTGTGACAACTCAATAACATTTTTGTTTAAGTTTGCAGACCTGCACCTACTTAATGTCAGACAAATCCAGGCATGAAGAAACAGATCCTCTGATCTAAAGGGAAAGAAAAGGTAAATTATCAATAGTGATAGGAATTTAGGTGAGCAGAATTAGCATGATAAGTCAACTGTCTGTTTAGAATTCAAGTAAAGTCATACCATTTTTCAGCAGTGCATAAATCGGGCTGATGTGGTTCAATTGTCTCTGAAAACAGGAAAAAAACAACTTAACTTTTCAGTAGAGTATTATGATTGAAACATAAATCAAATGTCTATGGAGGATCAAAAAATGTTTTTCAGTAGTGCATAAACCTATGCACTGTGAGTCAATTGATAGAAAGATTGCATTATGAGGGATTTGATAATCAGAGGTATTTCAAACACTAACCTTGAACAGTTTACCACAATAGTTAATCAGCCATGAAGACTACAGCGTACCTCCACAAGCCTTGCTTGTACTTTGATCAGCATCACAGGAAAGATCCATTGTGACCAAACAGGTGTAGTACAACAAAACAGAGGGCATCTTATCAACCTAGTAGTTAAAAAAATTCAAAAAAGGGTTAATTGCCTGCTGAGAAGGGAAAATTATACACCCTTTTAAAAATAATGCAAGTAGGCTAAGTGCATTGTCTGTTGTGGGAGTCAAAATTAATGCAGTCACCCATTTTTTACCAGTATAAAAATGATGCAATTGTGATCAGTTAATTGTCTGGTATGGAGGAAAAATAACACAGAAAAAAACCCAACAGTGTACAGAAAATACAAACATGATTGACTGTTAAGAAAGTAAAATAACACACCAATTTCAATTAATTACACACATTTACATTATCATTTGAGTGTTTTATAGTATTTACAGGTAGCTCACATTAACCTTGAATGACACTTGAGAACAGTTGGAGAGCTGTGCAGACTTCAGCTAGCAGACCTCTGCGAGCAATGCTGGTACAAATCATAGACTTCGAAGCTCAAACCATCCTAACCACTGGACCAATGTGACAGGATATTAAACAACCTTAACCAAGCTGTCGTACAGAAGCCAGAAGGAGCAGATCATGTGCACTAAAGGCATCCACCTTGGAGTGTTGATTGATATCCTCAATTGATACCCTCGATCGACCCTCGGTTGACACTCGATTGACACAACATCGACATCTCTGTCAACAGTCAGTCAAGAGTCGACTAACTTTCAATTGATTGATATGAGTCAGTTGATAGAGTGTTGACCGAGTACCAATTGGGATGTTGATCGAGTATCGATCGAGATGTCAATCAAAAGCATAGATCGACAATCAACCACGGATGCCTTTAGTGCACATGAATATGGCCTAGTTGAATCTGTCCAGCAGTTAAAACCTACTCAAAATGCAGACCTCTTAGGTTTTACATTCAGATGAACATGGATTTGCTGTGGGTCAAGGTGCATCCCTTTTCGTCAGCTAATGGATGCAATTAAAGAACAGTCAACATCTGCAATTAACCTGCAAATCCAAGATGTACCTATAAGGAAGCACCATGTAGATGATACCTACAGGGAGAACTTTTACATGCACTGCCTTACTTAAATGTCTACCTGTGACACCAGTGATGGATGCAATAAGGAGCACAACAAGGAAGTACATGTACATCACCGTCTGCCATTTCTGAGTATCCCCGCTGACACTGGCAACTATCTGCTTTGGAACATCTCAAGATATTTCAGAAAAGTGTAAGTATTTGCACCTTACGTAATTAAATTATTTATTTATAACTTCCTAGTGGAAAGGAGGTCACGCCTTTAAAATTCTGACTTTGATAGGATTGAAACCAATGACCTAAGTGTGAGTGCTTGGTAGGATTGTTTTCTTTCCCTTGAGAAACTGGAAGACTTAAGTTAAAAAACCATTTGGGACAACGGGAAAACATAAAGGGGACCTAACCCTAATTCTTTTTAACAAACAGGAACAAGGCATGTAAAATTCAGGCTTTTGTGAGACTCTGTGAAGGCCATGACCAATCAGCATTTTGCATGAGAAAGTTATTTAATATTTGCATCACATGTCATCAAAAAGTAAACTACTACATGTTCTAGAAAGTTTGCATGTTCTAGTCTCTCAGTGCCTCTGTGTAGCAGAAACATCAGCTGGTAGTATGAGTACTAACACTTGTGAGTTGTATACCATGGAATATCACGCGAGTCACCCGTTTTTTCTTGGAATACACATAAGCCTTTAGACAAGTGTGTACACCAAGAAAACACAAGTGACAATAAGTGGGATATTCCATGGTCTACCACTCAAAACCTTGCACAACTATTTTATACCATGCCCTAGAAAATACAGAGGCCAAAACAATCAATATGACATATGCGCAGCGCACAAGGGGAAGGTTGGGTGTAATACCATTGAATATACAATGGCTGGACTTTCCTGTATCCTGTTTGGCTGTATTTTCTACAGCATGGTATAGAAAAGAAGGATCATGTTTACTGTAGGTGGTATTGACTGACACTATGAACCAATATATCGACCAACAGTTGGTTGAGTGTTGCTTGAGTATCCGTCAAGTATCAGTCGAATGTCAGTCAAGTATTGGTCAAATGTTTGTCAAGTATTGGTTGAGTATTTGGTCAATAAGTCAGCCATTACTTGACCGATACTCGACTGATGCCCAACCAACACTCGACCGATACTCAACTGACACTCAACCAACTGTCAGCCGATATATTGGCTGGGTATTGCTCAACACTCGTTCAATACTTGGATCAGCTATCAACAGACTGTTGGTCGATATATCAATCGGTAGTGTTGATGAACACTACCTACAGTAAACATGATCCAAAAAGAATACAGTAAACACTGTGCAGTCAGTCACATCGGACAGGCAACCAGAGAAAAGACAAGGAATCTACACCACAGTTATTGAGCTGATCAATCATGTTGGACAAGCAGGCTGAAGGCTTAACTGAGTTGTGAGTCATGTCACCCATTGAACAAGCAGCTTTGAGTCAGATCAACAACTTTATTGGCTGGATTCTAAATCCCATGCAGAGCACTCAAGATGGACAAAATCATGGTTATGACAGTCAACAAGGTACTGTTCTGTACATGATGCAGTTTAAATGTAGAAAATGTGAATTGGATTGCCTTGTCTCCTTCCTTTTGGAGCTCAGCCCTTGTTATTAAAATGAAAACCAAAACATCAATTAATTGACATGGTCCCAACAATTAGCTCTGTAACAATTAGCTGAAACTTAAAATAATAATCTACATCCATTTTTCATTTATATAGATATATCATACACTGTTTGCAAATTTATTCATTTCTGGACTTAGAAATCTGTAACAAATTTCTGATTACAAAAAACGACATTGCTTTCCAGACATTAATTTTTAGCACCTTTTTTTTTTTACCCCATCCACAGTTGACAAGTTGCATCAGTGGATAACATTGCAAGCTTTCATCAAGCCTGTCATCAAGCTGATGGTGTTTTCTTCTATTGCCATCTTCACAAGAGATGATTAACCACAACAGACCAGTCAGATCAACCTGAAAGTGATATGAAAGCAATAAACTCGAGCAGGCTATTGTTCAATGAAGGTACAAAAATGTTGTGTCATGCTCGAACCATTTCATAATTGAGATTCTTGATGAGCACCTTGCATTGTGTAGTTCCAGGGAATTTTTGTACCCACCTCAAAGAAGGTAATTGGAGATTGTTGGAGGGTGGGGTTTCAAAACCCAAAGTAAGAAAAAATAGTAACAATGAAGCAAAATTAGAATTTCCAGACAGTCGGGGGTTAAACCTACAGTGGAAGACTATGAAATATTTCCTGAAACAACAAATTCAATAACACTATTTCTGCCCCAAAGTGCAAAATTGATCTCGTGAACTCTTTTAGTCATGTTATCACATACGTTACTTAAGTTAAGGCAGCTTATAGGACTTGCAACATTTATTTTCAACTGCCAAAACAGCCCACTGCCATCTCAATGTTGCCTTGTATCTGTGCAGTGCAGGTTTCTTGAATTAACCATTACTGAGAAAAGGGAAGGAGAAAAAAGGCTTGACTGTTTTAACAGTTGTGATGGGGTTTGTACAATGTACGTCAATTCCAGGCACTATTCCAATCTATCTATTCCAAATGCACTCACCTCAGATCGGATATAAAGGTATTACTTAGACTTGTGGTAAAGAAACCAATCTGATCCCATTGAGGCATTGCTCAATTAACTTTGGCTAACATGTCATCTGGCACACACTGCTAATGCATTAGCTGACGACAAGACACTGATACACTAGCAATGAGAACGAAAATAATGTCAGCCAGTTTGTTAACAGTGATGATGAGATCATAGAACTTGCAAGTTTTCTAGGCAAATTAATTAACCAGATTTCTTTCATCATGTTTTTTCCCCAGACGTGACCACAGATAATGGCAAACAGTCAAGGGGCACATTACTGGCTTGATCTGGTATGATGATCAAGTTACTGAGCTGTCTTGAATGGAACATACAGGCCTGTGGAAAAGGAGACAATACAAAACTTCCAGGGAACTGCTTTAAAATTATTGTATTGGATATAAGTCATGGACATTGTTGATGGTAACAAATACTGTTCAATTTAATTTGAAGGGAGTTGAGACGGACAAGATGAATATTTTGAGATTTTGTTTCAGATCTACTGATAGGTCTATTTATTCATTCTAAGGTTCCAGTGGAAATCAAGGTCTGTTAAGTCTGTACAGGTGTTGTCTAGGTTTGGCTGCAAGTTCTAGTGTCTTGTTATTTTTTTCAGTAAAACTATCAAATCACAAACAGTCTCAGGTCATAACATCAAATGAAACTTCTAAATAATATCCTAATGCCAAGAAATCAAAGCTAAATAATTGGAAATGATAGTTTCAATACTATTATTTACAAAAAATAGTTTGATTTTAAAGACAATGTGAAAGCTTATTTTTTAATTTAAATAATAGTTTGAAAGCTATTATTTAAAATTGAAATAGCTTGTACTGAAAGCTACTAATTTTGAGAAATAGTCTTTGAAGCTATTGTTTACAAATAATAGCTTTTCAACAGGCGTTTCTTAAAATTATGATTGCTTAAATGATGCTCTTATTTAGAAAACTCATTTAATATTATACCTGAGTATCTAGGTGATTAGATTGCCCTACTGAAAAAAGAACACGACACAGATGAGCTTATAAGCCAAATCTGGGCGAGACTGAAACAGATTGAAGTTGAGTTTGATTTCTGCCTGAGCCCGAGAGTTTTTAGACTTCAATTCCAAATTTTAATTGAGCTATGATCATTATTACATAGTTATTTTCAAAATACATATAGTGAACTGATGTAGTTCCAACTCTCAAGAATATCAAACTACAATTAATAATTGAAAATTCTGAACTTGGGACATTATGAGTTCTCCTTCATTTGCTTATTAAGCTGAACTAATCTTGACACATAACCCTAATCAGTAACTTAACAGACTAACTACAAATGATTATAGTAACCACTATAATAATTTATTACATATATGGGGACTTCCTGGTGTTCCTGAGTTCAGATTAAAGGAACTGAAGAAACCTACAAACCTTAAGATCCATGTAAATCAAATCAAAAATGACGATTTTTTTAATCCAAGTAGAATAACATCAAAAGTCAGTAATTTTTTTATGAGTTGTATTTTGTATTTTTAGAATTTGAAATGATGTAAACTAAAATATAACAATCAGAATGTATGTATAGCACTAGAATTTGTGTGTACATGTTCATGTTTAAATTGCTGGACACAAACGCAAGATTAAGTTTGAAAAACTTATCATTTAGGCCTGAGGGGGCAAGTGTTTGGAGTTGGGAGACAGGGGCTTGGATTTGGGAAACAGGGCTTTGGGGAACAGGGGTTTGGATTAGGGAGATGGAGGCTTGGATTTGGGGAACAAGGGTTTGGAGTTGGGGGATAGGGGTTTGGATTTTGTTGGCAGGTTTGGAGTTACGTTGGGGGAAAGGGGCTTGAATCTGGACAGAGGTTTGGATTTGGGGGACAGGGACTGGGTCAGAGGTTCAATCAGGTTCAGTTGGGTTTAATGGTTTTGGGGTTGTCCTTTCAGATAAGTTTTTTCAAACTCAATTGAGTGTTTGTATCAAGCTATAAAAACACAGCATGGCCAGTTTCTGCTTCTCCTGTGAAATAAGAAAAAAAAAGAATTAATGTGATGTTGAATAACCATACTTTGTTTACTTAGCCTTGAACAAATAGTGAATCAAAATAGTGGTTGTATGTATTAAATCTATTGTTTTCTTAATTGGCAATACATCATTGGATCATCGTTGCTAGAGACATCTCTCTGTTATGATCTGTATAATCTGTGCGAATAAAAATAGTCTACTTGTCCAAATTTACTATAGTGTGTGAACCTGATTCAATGGGAAAGATGACCAATCATCTGTTAACTCAATTCGCTGACAGACTGCAAATTTGGTTTCATTTTGCATGATTATTTAGCAATAATATTAAATAAGTCACAGCACTTCTAAAACACAGCTGATTTATACAGATATTTGGTCATTTTTTCTGAGCAGTTGAATGTAAACGAGCTCTGTCAAAATAAAATCATTATGTTGCTACATATTATTGCGTTTTTGTTTTTTGTTTTTTTTTCTTTAAGTTATGTTAGAATAAAGTGAGCAATGGCATCAATTTTGTTGTCTTAATTTCAATTTTGTGGACAAATATGCACCCATTAATGGGGTCAAGCCAGAGGAGGACGAGAATGGCAGGCCAATCATATGCGGGGAGAATTGACAGCAATTAACTGCCTTTGACCATTTTAGTGGACATATGCTAACATATGGAGCATTTAATGAGCAGTTAGCCATCTGCAAATTCCTGGGAATGGGGTGTTTAAACAAATAAAATTTGACCGAGGTTCCCATGCGCCCCTTCCACTCTAGCTTAACATTTACAGGCTAAAGGGATTTCCGTGAAAGATTGGCTCGGGGCTACCCTTCAAGACACATTCCTTTCTCTTTCTGCTCGCTTAGAGACGAGAAGGGAATCTCTCTCGCAGGGTAACTCGGGGCTTCTTTATGTGCAAATTATGTGATTTCCAGTTTAGTCGCCCGCATACAGACCCGGGCATACAGACGTCTCTTATTTAGGAACACGAGACGACTGTACGCAGATACCTAGTAGCTTATATATAGATTGCTGTTCGTTTTTTCTTGGTATACACATAAGCCTTTAGACAAGTGTGTATACCAAGAAAATACAAGTGACAAGTGAGATATTCCATGATATATCACTCAAAACGTTGCACAACTATTTTATACCATGCCCTAGAAAATACAGTGGCCAAAACAATCAATAATTGACATACACGCAGCACACAATGGGAAGGTTGGGTGTAATACCATTGAATAATATAAAATGGCTGGACTTTCCTGTATCCTGTTTGGCTGTATTTTCTCTGGCATGGTATAGAAAAGAAGGATCATGGTTACTGTTAATAGGTGGTATTGGCCAACACCATGAACTGATATTTCGACCGACACTTGGTCAATACTTCAGCCAAGTATTGGTTAACACTTGGCCAACAGTTGGTTGAGTGTTGCTTGAGTATCAGTCAAGTATCAGTCGAATGTCAATCAAGTATTGGTTGAATGTCAGTCCAGTATTGGTTGAGTATTCGGTCGATGTGTGAGCTGTTACTTCACCAATACTTGACTGATGCCCAACCAACACTGGACTGATACTCAACCGACACTCTAACAACTTTCAGGTGATATATTGGCTGGATATCGCTCAATACTAGTTCAATACTTGGCCGAGCTATCAACAGACTGTTGGTCAATATATCAGTTGATAGTGTCAGCTGACACTACCTACAGTAAACACAATCCAAAAAGAATACAGTAAACACTATGCAGTCAGTCACATTGGACAGGCAACCAGAGAAAAGACAAGGAATCTACACCACAGTTATTGAGCTGATCAATCATGTTGAACAAGCAGGCTGAAGGCTTAACTGAGTTATGAGTCATGTCACGCATTGAACAAGCAGCTTTGAATCAGATCAACAACTTTATTGGCTGGATTCTAAATCCCATGCAGAGCACTTAAGATGGACAAAATCATTTTTATGACAGTCAGCAAGGTACTGCTCTGTGCATGATGCAGTTGAAATTTAGAAAATGTGAATTGGATTGCCTTGTCCCCTTCCTTTTGGAGCTTCAGTTCATGTTATTAAAATGAAAATCAAAACATCAGTTAATTGACATGGTCCCAACAAAGCTCTCTAATAATAAGCTGAAACTTAAAATAATTATCTACATCCATTTTTCATGTATATAGATATCATTGTTGTACATTGTTTGCAAATTTATTTGTTTCTGGACTTGGAAATCTGTAACGAATTTCTGATTAAAAAAATGACATTGCTTTCCTGACATTAATTTTTTGCACCTTTTTTACCACATCCACAGTTGACAGAGTTGCATCAGTGGATAACATCACAAGCTTTCATCTAATATATATTTTACCTGTCATCAAGCTGATGGTGTTTTCTTCCATTGCTATCTTTACAAGAGATGATTAACCACAACAGACCAGTCAGATCAACCTGAAAGTGATATGACAGCAATATACCTGATGAGCAGGCTATTGCTCAATGAAGGCAAAAACTATTATTTCATGCTCAAACCATTCCATAATTGAGATTCTTGATCAGCACCTTGCATTGTGTAGTTCCAGGAAATTTTCATACCCACCCCAAGGGAGGTCTTTGGAGATTGCAGGAGGGTGGGGTTTCAGAACCCAAAGTAAGAAAAAATAATTAATAATGAAGCAAAATTGGAATTTCCAGACAGGTGGGGGTAAAACCTACAGTGGAAGACTATGAAATATTTCGTGAAACAACAACTTTAATAAGACTATTTCTGCCCCAAAGTGCAAAATTGATGTATTGAACTCTTTTAGTCATGTTATCACATACGTTACTTAAGTTAAGGCAGCTTATAGGACTTGCAAGGTTTATTTTCAGTTGCTGAAACACCCTACTGCCATCTCAATGTTGACTTGTCTCTGTGCAGTGCAGGTTTCCTGAATTAACCATTACTGAGAAAAGGGAAGGAGAAAATAGGCTAGACTGTTTTCACAGTTGTGACAGGGTTTGTACAATGTAAGTCAATTCTGTAGATGATCCCCAACAGACACTATTCCAATCTAGCTATTCCAAATGCACTCACCTCAGATTGGATATGAAGGTAATACTAAGACTTGTGGTAAAGAAACCAATCTGATCCCACCGTGGCATTGGTCAATACTTTGGCTAACATGTAAGTTGGCACACTGCTCTTATTTAGCTTATGGCAAAACACTAATACACTACCAAAGAGACCGAAAATTTGGTCAGTCAGTTTGTTAACAGTGATAATGATCAGTGATCTTGCCAAATTAATTAAGCAGATTGCTTTCTTCATTTTTTTTCCAGATGTGACCTGCACAGATCATGGCAAACAGTCAAGGGGAATGTAACTGGCTCGATCAGGTATGATGATCAAGTTACTCAGCTGTCTTGAATTGAATGGAACATGCAGGCCTGTGGAAAAGGAGACAATACAAAACTTTGAGGGAACTGTTTTAAAATTACTGGATTGGATATAAGTCGTGGACATTGCTGATGGTAACAAATACTGTCCAATTTTAAGGGCGTTGAGAACAACGAGATGAATATTTTCAGATTAATTTTTATTTCTACTGATAGGTCTGTTTATTCCTCCTAAGCTCGCAGTGGAAATCGAGGTCTGTTAAGTCTGTATAGGTGTTGTCTAGGTTTGGCTACAAGTTCTGGTGTCTTATTCTATTTTTCAGTAAAACTATCAAATCACAAACAGTCTCAGGTCATAACATCATATGAAACTTCTAAATAATATCCTAATGCCAAGAAATCAAAGCTAAATAATTGGAAATGATAGTTTGAATATTATTATTTACAATTAATAGCTTTAGTTAATTTAGAAGACAATGTGAAAGCTTTTTTTTTTAAAATTGAAATAGCTTGCATTGAAAGCTACTAATTTTGAGAAATAGCTTTTCAACAGGTGTTTCTTAAAATTATGAATGTTTAAATGATGCTCTTATTTAGAAAACTCATTTAATATTATACCTGAGTATCTAGGTGATTAGATTGCCCTACTGCAAAAAGAACATGATGCAGCTGAGCTATAAGCCGAATCTGGGCGAGACTGAAACAGATTGAAGTTGAATTTGATTTCTGCCTGAACCTGGGGGGTTTTAGACTTCAATACCAAATTATAATTCAGCTATGATCATTATTAAATAATTAGTTTCAAAATACATGTAGTGAACCAATACTGTAGTTCCAACTCTCGGGAATATCAAACTACAATTAATAATTGAAAATTCTGAACTTGGGACATTGTGAGTTCTCTTTTGTTTGTTTATTAAGCTGAACTAATCTTGACACGACACTAATCAGTAACTTAACAGACTAAACTACAAATGATTAATAGTAACCACTATAATAATTTATTAATATATGGGGACTTCTGGTGTTCCTAAGTTCAGATAAACAGAACTGAAGAAACCTACAAACTGTGATATCCATGTATTAAGTAAAATCCAAGTAGAATAACATCAAAATTCACAGTAATTTTTTCTATGAGTTGTATTTTTGTATTTTTAGAATTTGAAATGATGTAAACTAAAATATAGCAGTCAGAATGCATGTACATGTATAGCAGTAGAATTTGTGTGTATGCATGTTCGTGTTTAAATTGCTTGATACAAACTTAAGGAGAAGTTGAAGAACTTATCATTTAGGCCTGAGGGGGCAAGTGTTTGGAGTTGGGAAACAGAGGCTTGGATTTGGGAAATAGGGGTTTGGATTAGGGAGATGGGAGGCTTGGATTTGGGGAACAAGGGCTTGGAGTTAGGGGAAAAAGAGACTTGGATTTGGGGGATAGGGGTTTGGATTTTGTTGGCAGGTTTAGAGTTAAGTTGGGGGAAAGGGTCTTGGATCTGGACAGAGGTTTGGATTTGGGGGACAGGGACTGAGTCAGGTTCTACCAGGTTGGGTTTAATGGTTTTGAGGTTGGCCCTATAGATAAGNGCAATCTCTTATGCATTCATATGTAGGTCCTGTGGATTATTGTACAAATGATGAAATATACTGTAATTTTCAATAAAACTAAACAAAACCAATGTCTCATTCTTTAATTTCAAGGCAGCATTACAATAATTACTCAACAAATTCACATTTGAAAGCACTTTGCGCTATTTAAA